TTCTGCAGGCTGCACTTGGCCTGTAGATCAGAAGTCAGGGGCCACCATCCCCCGGTGTCCTGAGACACTTGCCTTCACACAGACAGCAAACATGGGTACCTGCGGGGGGCCTTGACCTGCAAGGACGGGGAGTCGGGGCCCCAGGTCCGGCGAACAAAAGAAACAGTCACACGCGTGTAGCAGAACAAAGAGAGAGAGAGAGTTCTTTATTTTGTTTTTATCTAGTTTATATAAAATACAAGAGGTGGGGGATGCAGAAGTCGGGAAGGGAGAAAGCCAATGGACAATAGACATGCAGCGATGTTTTGGTAATAGTTGGTCTCGCGAGGGGCGAAAGTGGGTGAGAAAAGAAAGAGGAGAAGGAAAAGATGGGGGCAAGGAGTTCTTACCACATGCCTTTTACAACCCGGATGTGTTTTTCTATCCGGACTCCATTTCACCTTTTCATGACTGCTGACAGACGCCAGATGCCGGCCTACTGGGCACAGGGCCACCCCCAATCACCGCGACCCAACATGTACTGATGGTAGGGATGGGGAACTGAAACCCTGCTTCAGAGTGGCGGAGATACGAAGATGAAACTCCGGGACCCTGGTCTAGGCTCAGTGCTCTCTCCCCAGTGCTCGCTACCCAAGGCCCGTGTTTCAGGGGTGCTATGCTCCCAGTGCCCCAAACACCCTCCCCCCCACTTCCCAGGACCTGCAGTCATCCTTCTGCCACCAGGAGGTGCACAGCAGGATACCCAGCTCAACCCAAGCCCTAAGCACCTCTCCACACCACCTTTGTGTCCCCTTCTGGAGTGCTTCTTGCTCTTTCTTTTTCTGGGGAAATTCCCCAGGCCAGGGCTGATTTTTCAGGTGGGACAGGCCAAGTCAATAAGCTTCACTCTGGGGGGACTGAGTCCTTGGGTTTTGGGCCGGTGCTGAGCGCAGGTGACATCGACGTGATAGAGTTTTGGTTCCAGAAAGGCTTCTCTCACACTCCAAACAGCTTCGTTCCATCCTGGGGCCAGCATGTCTAAGATCCCACATTTTCTCCTACAGGCTCAGTACTGCCTTTTCCAGGGCCCCAAGTGACAACAGTGGGGAGCGGGGACATGTGTGTCCCAGCCGCTACACCCACCGCAGACGACAGGACTCTCGCAGCCAGCATGGTGCTGGGCTGCAGGTCCACTCCTGCCCCAAGAGTGCCTGGCAGCCTTTCTTTGGGATTAGGAAAAGCCCAGCGCCCCCTAGCCTGGGCTGGCACGAGCCTGTCCTGTGACCAAGGACCAGGTGTGGACAGAGAGGAGCAGGTCTAGGAAGACCTGGGGGAGCGCTACGGGCCGAACAAGCGGGCTGCGCTGCCTGCTGAAGCAGCCCTCCAGTGAGGAGCAGAGGTCTTCCTGGCCTTCACCGTGCTCCCTGCGAGGATGCGCCCCCTCCCCTGGCTAAGTGTTGCCTAGTCATCCTGACTGGCAGGTCAGGCCCGTCCAGGCCCTGGGTGTTTGTCCCCCCCACCCCCAGGTGCACCACCAGGTAGGCCCAGCTGCTGAGGGGCTGAGGGCTGGGAGCTGGGCGAGGTCATGAGTTTCCTGTTGCACTTGCGCCTCCCAATGCCTCCTCCTCCTCCTCACGGCCAAGTCAGCACTTAGGCCAGAGAGGATTGCAGAGTTGGCAATAATGGTTTAGACAGAATGAAACAAAACAGACAGTTTTCAGTGTTTTTTTTTTTAAAGATTTATTTATTTATTCATACAGAACTGGGGTACAGGCCAGAGATGCAGAAGGTGAGAGGATTCACCAGGGACAGAGCAGGGAGCAGAACAGGCAGATCGACGAAGTACACTGCTGAGGGGAGCAGCGGGCGGGTCAGGAGAGGTCTGCCGCGCCATGTGGTCACCTCCAGGTGGGGATCGAACTCATGTGGAAGTGGCTTTAGCTTCTTAGTGCTGTTCTTTAACCTGCTGCGCCACCAGGGAGGGCCAGTTTTCAGTGTTTTAAGTGTAAATTCAGTGGCTTGAAGTACACTCACAACATTGTGTAACCGTCACCATTGTATTTCCATAACATTTGCATCATCCAAGATGGAGATTTTTAAAATTTAATATAATAGTTTATTTTTACATCATTTTGTGCCTTTCTCCATCTCAGTTGAAATTCCCATGGGCTTCCCATCTCCAAACCACCTGTGTGCCATCACCATATTCTAGTCCACTCCCCCCCCCCACTCCATTTTGATCCCATTCCCCACTCCAACCCCACAAAATGTCTCTGGTATATAGTTGTTCATTATTATTATTTTTTCTCGCCTGGTCCTTTATACTCCTGTTATGAGTGAAACCGTCCGATATTTTTCCTTTTCTTTCTGGCATGATCCCTTCTAGCTCCCCAACATGGAGAATGTTTTTGTCTCATGAAGTTGTGTGTTCTAGGTTCCTCCTATACCTGGAATCATATAGTATTTGTGCTCTAGGGACTGGCTGGTTTCACTCAGCAGCGTGTCCTCGTGCAGTAGGTCAAATGTCATTCTAAGGCCGTCATCCCATTGCATAAATATGCACATTTTGTCCATCCACCTGTTGATGGGTATCTGGGTGATTTCCCTTTCTGGCTCTTATGAATCACACTGCTATGAATCTTGGTGTGAAATTGTGTGTCTCAGTGTCTGTTTTCAGCTCCTTTGCCCACTAACCTGGGAGTGGAGTGAATGAATCAAATGCTAACCCGGTGTTTGCCAGGACCTGCCCCATTTCACAACCCCCTGTCCGTGCATAAGGCATCCAATTATTTTGTGGTCTTATTGCTTGTTAATGGCAGTTCTCAGGATGTGAGGTAGAAGCTGATTTGGTTTTCAGTTGCCTTTCCCTAGTAACTAATAGTGCTGAGCATCTTTCCATAGGCTTCCTGCCATTTGTGTATCATCTTTCAAGAAATGTCTATAGGAGTTTCAGCCCCACCTGAGGATGGGCTGTTTACCTGTTGCAGTCGGCGCTTTTTTTTTTTAAGATTTATTTTAAAGATTTATTTATTTGTGCATACAGAACTGGGGTACAGGCCAGAAGTGCAGGGGCAGTGAGAGGATTCACCAGAGACAGTGGGGAACAGAACAGGCTGACTGACGAAGTACACTGCTGAGGGGAGCAATGGGGGACAGGAGAGGTCTGCTGCGCCATGTGGGTCACCTCCGGGGCCGGGGATCAAACTCACGAAGTGGCTACAACTAGCACTGAAGTGGCTATGGTGCACTTGCAGTGCTGCGTCCCAACCCACTGCGCCACCAGGGAGGGCCTGCAGTTGGCTCTGTGTAGCAGTTCCAGTCTATTCTACATGTGACTCCCTTATCAGATAGGTGATCGGTAAATATCTCCCCCCAATTCTGGGCTGCCTTTTTACGTAGATGCACAGACACTTTCAATGTTGATCAAATCTATTTTTTTCTTTCCTTGCTTGTGTCTTTGGCATCACACATAAGAATTCATTGCCTACTCCAAGGTCATGACTCTCACTCAAGTTTTCTTCCAAGAGTTTTGTAATTTTAGTTATGAACGTTTCTGGTATCTGCCCCTTTGATTCATACAGCAGATCTTAGGGGCCTGTCCTGCTCAGAGACTCTCAGTGGGAGACGCCCAGCTCCTCATGCCAGGTGTACAGTAAGCACATCGCTCGCCTTGTGGGAAACGTGTTGCGCAGGACCCTGGCGCTCTGTCGCTCCCACAACTTGCCCCGCCACCTTCGCTAAGCCCCCCTCACCGTGCCCGGGGCCTCGGGGCTCTGCACCGTGCGGGCTCACGTCCTCAGTTCCGGGCACTGAGAAATAGGTGCTCACAAGCTGCAAAGGACAGAGATGGCTCTGGGGGGGCTCCTGGGACCCCGAAGGGGAAGGTTCAGCTAGAAACACTTCCAAGGTGCAGCTTGGGGTGCAAAGACCATTTCAAGATGCAAAGACCATTCGTGATGGACAGAACTGGAAGGCGACATGGTCCGCTGGGCAGACCGGGGGAGACAGGACGGGCTCAAGGGTGGGTCTGGGGAGTAGGGGTCAGGGGCGGAGCTGGGAGTAAGAAATGAGGACTTCTCAGGGGTTGTTGGGGACCAATGTAACGCCCGCAATGGGAGCCCACAGGAGGTTTCGAGTGCTATCAAGGCAGCACTTCGGGAAATGCTCTGTCAGGCCCCCCCAGCCTGTAGCTGGTAATGCTGATGGCGGGAGGTCGCCTCAAGTGAGCCCGTCCTGTCTCCCCCCTCCCCCCCCCGTCTGCCCAGCGGACCATGTCGCCTTCCAGTTCTGTCCATCACGAATGGTCTTTGCATCTTGAAATGGTCTTTGCACCCCAAGCTGCACCTTGGAAGTGTTTCTAGCTGAACCTTCCCCTTCGGGGTCCCAGGAGCCCCCCCAGAGCCATCTCTGTCCTTTGCAGCTTGTGAGCACCTATTTCTCAGTGCCCGGAACTGAGGACGTGAGCCCGCAGCGGTGCAGAGCCCCGAGGCCCCGGGCACGGTGAGGGGGGCTTAGCGAAGGTGGCGGGGCAAGTTGTGGGAGCGACAGGGCGCCAGGGTCCTGCGCAACACGTTTCCCACAAGGCGAGCGATGTGCTTACTGTACACCTGGCATGAGGAGTTGGGCGTCTCCCACTGAGAGTCTCCGAGCACTGGGTCTCTGAGGGCTCCAGTTCCTGCTGATTTGAAGGGTGTGGGGACAGTATGGGGAAGTGGGAGAAAGGGAAAAGTTGCTCTGGGGCAGTGTCCTTAGATGCCAGGAAAAGCATAAGTTGGGGAGGAGCCAAGGGACCCACAGAGGGTTTTTGAAGGCTGCCACCATGCAAGGACACTGCTAGTGGGGAATGAGGCTTCTGGCCAGGGAGTGCGTCATCCCTGAGGTCCTCGGCTCCATCCGCTCGCTGCGTTGGCCAGCCTTGCCCTGCAGAACCAGCAGGCTCTGGGGCTGAGGAACCCCAAATGCCCTAGGAGGCCCCGTGTGCCCACCACCTTCCTAGGCACAGAATGAGCACAAGAGCTGCTATGGACGTCCTGCTCCAGCTTCTTGTCCTCGCCGCCTCCGTCCCACTGGGTAAGTGCTACCAACCTGGGTGAGTCCAGCACCCTGAGTCCGGCACCCTACTGTCTTGGACCGGCTGGGCTATGCCGGTTTGGCTGCTGAGATGGAATGAAGGCACAGGGAGGCAGCGGCAGGGGCACTGCCCTTCCAGAGGCACCCAGTGGTGTGTCATGGGGGACAGGACAGAGTCGGGGCACCTTCCAGGGGGCAGACCCAGGAACTTGGCGGTGACCCTATTCTCTGTCTTGTTCCCCATCAGGCTTGGCCTCATGGGGTGTCTCCAGTCCCCCGACAGTACAGGGCGTGAAGGGATCCTGCCTGGTCATCCCCTGCACCTTCAACTTCCCTGACAGCATGCCGTTGCATCACGGCATCACCGCCATCTGGTACTTCAACTACCCGGGCAAGCGGGAGGTGGTGAGCCACTCGGATGACCCCCAGCTGGTGGAGTCACGCTTCCGCGGCCGGGCCCAGCTGCTCGGGGAAGTAGAGCGGAGAGTGTGCAACCTGCTGCTGCAGGACCTGCAGCCCGAGGACTCGGGCTCCTACCACTTCCGCTTCGAGATCCATGAGGGTGATCGCTGGGTAGACATGAAAGGCACCGCGGTCACGGTGACAGGTGAGGTGACAGGTGCCCGCCTACTTCAAGCTGACGCTGCTGGATCGCAGCCCCAGCCACCGTCTTGAGCCCTGCTCTGCTGCAGTTCCAAGCCCCCACTAGCCCTGGCCCTGTGTGCCCCTTGCATTCACTCAAGTGGGGCTGGGAGGTGGAAAGCCTCACGCTGTCCCCTTGAAGCCTCCTGTCCAGGGCTCGGCCCTTGGCTGAGGCTTCTGGGACAGGAGGTCTGAGGTGTGGTGAAGGGGCAGCCTGAGTGCTCCTGCTTTTGTCCCCAGAACTGCCCAGAGCACCCACTATCACTTCACCAGCCAAGCTTCTCGAGGGCGTGGAGGTGGACTTCAACTGCTCCACTCCCTACGTGTGCTTGAAGGACCCAGTCCACCTGAAGTGGCAAGGCCAGGACCCTGCTCACTCCACCACTTCCACCATCCAGAAGCTCGAGCCCACGGGCGTCACTTACGTGGACACACTCCACCTAGCCCTGTCCTGGCAGGACCACGGCCGGACCTTGAGCTGCCAGCTCTCGGTGGCTGAGCACAGCACTCAGGGCGAGATCCACCTGCAAGTGCAGTGTAAGTGTGCAGGGATCAGTGTGGCTGAGCACTCTCTTCAGCCATCAAGAGCCCTTGACCCCTGAGGCAAAGCCAGGTCTCTCTTGACTGTCTAAGTGGGGCAGGCGGAGAGAGACATGGCTAAGCCCCAAGGGTCGCATCTGATGGCTCCCTCCTGGCTCCTGCTGGCTTCAAAGGGCCCTGTACAGAAAACCAGGCTAGAGAAGGGGAGGAAGGAGAGTCACAAAGAGCCAGGAACTGGAGGTCTGGCTGTGAGTGCCCTCAGTTATAACCCATCTCTGGAGGATGATTAGAGGTGGGTTCACCCCTTTTCTCCCTTAAAGCTACTCACATGTAACCAGGGCATCACCAGAACATGGCCAAAAGGCTGTGCGAGCAAGCTCAGGTTTCCATTTAATCATGCATCTTCCTATCATCAGGAAATGGGTCAGAGGGTTCTAGACCAGGCCCTGTTCATAGGCATGCCCCACTAGCTGAGTAAACTTTGGGGGAAGTCCCTGGTCTCTTGGAGCCTATTTCGCCTCTGTAGAGAGATCTGCAATGAACAATCCCATCTCATGGTATTGTTGCGAGGGTTAAAGCAGTGTTGGTGCATGGGTATTCGGGGTGACTTGACACCGTCTGTGGCTGCCTTCCGTGAAGCAGTCGGTCTTTTACCTTGGTTGCCACAGACCCCAAAGCATGGTGCCCAAGGCTCCCAAAGGGGACAGAGGTAGCCGTGGGGAGGGGTGTGGCAACCGTGGGGGCCAGTGGAGCCTAACACCAGGACCAGCACTGCCTTATCTTCATGGAGAAGGAAGGGGCCAGGAATTCTCACCAGGTAGGGGCAGCGCCTATCCTGGATAGGACTGATGGGGTGGTTGGCTGATCTTATGTGTGAGTGCTGGAAGTGCAGGGTGCCAACCCCAACTTCTCAAACCGCCCCCCCCCCACACCAGCACCTCACCTGACACATAATATTGTGCCTTGCAGATGCTCCCAAGGGTGTCAAGATCCTCCTCAGCCCCTCTGGGCGAAACATTCTTCCAGGTGATCTTGTTACACTCACCTGCCAGGTGAACAGCAGCAACCCTGAGGTCAATTCTGTGCAGTGGGTCAAGGATGGGGAGAACCTCAAAGCCCAGGGTCGTGTGCTGCAGTTGTCTCAGGCAACCTGGGGTGACTCCGGCGTCTATACTTGCCGAGCTGGGAACAGCGTGGGCTTCTCAGTGTCGGCCCCCGTCAGTCTCCACGTCTTCAGTGAGTCCTGGGGAGTGGGTCCTGCTTCTTGACCAAACAGGGTGAGGGGTGGGGTCGGGGTGTACAGACCCCCGAGGCTAGGAGCCGCCAGGCCAAGGTGGAGTCAGCAAAGCACAGCTCAGTGCCTCTGGGGAGACATGTGTAGTCAGACAGGTGACAAGCATCCTGGCAGGGTGGGAGGTCAGGGGGATCCTGGTAAACAGAGTGAAGAGATTTAGGGTCCGTCTGGGAGGGCTTAGGCTGGTTCACAGCAACTCCGAGAGCCTGAGGGTTGGGCCCGGAAGCCTGCCTGTTGGGAATCCAGGCTGTGCCTCCCCTGCAGTGGCGGAGATTCAGGTGAGTCCAGCTGGCACCATCCTGGAGAAACAGACCGTGACACTGACCTGCAACACGCCCAGAGAGGCGTCCAGCGAGCTGCGCTTCAGCTGGTACAAGAACCAGGCCCTGCTGCAGGCTGCCCACAGCCCCACCTTCCAGCTGCACTCGGCCACCTCCGGAGACACCGGCTTCTACTTCTGCGAAGTAGCGAACGCCCATGGCAGAGAGCGCTCCCTCCCGGTCAGCGTGGTGATCAGCCGTAAGTGGCCTGGGCGTGGGGCGGCATCCCAGGGTGGCGGGGTCCAGGGCCTCCTTGGGCTTATATCCCAGCTCTGCCCATCTGACCGATTTTTGGACCTTGGTGGGCCTCCGTTTCCTATTTTAGAAAGACTTTTGTTTTGAAATAAGTTCAAGAGTATAAAAAGTTGCAAAAACAGTGCAAAGAATTATCATATGCGTTTATGGTCCTCAAGTGTTAACATTCTGATACATTTGCTGTCTTCTCTCTCGCTCACATGTACACATGCACGTAGATATACCCCGGGCGGACGGACATACATCCTCTCCATGTGAACACACACGCGCGGACTGTCCCTCTGTACAAATCCGGGTTATGTGTCCGTCTACCTGCCCATCACCCAGCCACTTACACTTCTGAAAGTGCAGACACAGTGTCCCCTTGCTCCCATCGCCTCAGGTCTAATTCAAGGTCATCCTCGTACACAACCACAGGGCAGGATCTCAGTCAGGCATTTTGACAACAATAAGAGACTCTCGTCTAATCTACCACCCACATTTAACTTTTGACGACTGAGCCATAATGTCCTTTATAGAAGTGTTTTTGGGGGACTGCTCACTGCATTCAGTTGCCCTCTCTTTATCCTCCCTGAAGCTTGAAGAGCAGGTCAGCTGCCCTTTGGGTGTCCCTGCTCGTGTTTGTCTGGGCTTGTGCACTGGGGGGTGTCCCCCAACAAGACAAGTGTCCGCCTCGTGGCATCCTGCCAAGAAACCTGCGATGGCATCGATGGTGCTCACTTGGATCACATGGCGGAAGCACCAGCTACTGCCATGTCTCCACCATCACCCCTTCTTCTATTTTTTTTTAATGATTTTATTTATTGATGCACACAGAACTGGGGAACAGGCCAGAGGTGCAGAGGCAGTGAGAGGATTCACCAGAGACAGAGCGGGGAGCAGAACAGGCAGATAGTCGAAGTACACTGCTGAGGGGGGCAGCGGGTGGGTCAGGAGAGGTCTGCCACGCCATGTGGGTCAACTCCGGGGCTGAGGATCAAACTCACACTGTAGTGGCCACAGCTCGGCTTAACTTAGCTTCGCAGTGCAGCTCTCCAACCCGCTGCGCCACCAGGGAGGGCCCATCACCCCATCTTTAAAGTGGACCCTGCTCCTGACTCAGTGCTGCTGAGGATGGACAGGGTGACAAAGTAACTCGCCCAGTCCAGGACAAAAATGTGTTCGGCAGACAAGGAGCTCCTGGGCGTTATTTCCTCTCTCAGGGCATTGTGGGAGAAAGGGGTCCTAGATCATAGCAGGAGCCAAGGAGTGCCCACGTCTGAGGGTGACAAGCTCCTCGTCTCCACACAGACCCGCCCTTCACCCCAGACCTAACCGCCTTCCTGGAGACACAGAATGGGCTGGTTGGCATCTTCCACTGCTCTGTGGTCAGCGAGCCCCTGGCCACCCTGTTCCTGTTACATGGGGGCCTTGTCTTGGCCTCCACCTCCGGGAAGGGAGACGGGAGCCCCCGCTTCATTGTCTCCTCTGCCCGCAACTCCCTGCACCTGGAGATCCGAGACCTGCAGCCAGCGGACAGGGGGGAGTACACATGCTTGGCCTCCAACTCCCTTGGGAATGCATCCTCCACCGTGGACTTCCGTGCCAGTAGTAAGAAGGGCGTGGGCGGCTGGCAGGGGCTCGGAGTTCTAGGGCTCGCCTGAGGGGCTGAACGAGTTAGCTGGCGGTCATCATGGCAGGGCCCCCGGCTACACAGTCCTCCCGCCCTGCGCTGCTCTTGGAAATCAAGGTGAAAGGGAAACATGGCAGGTTGCATTATTCCTTTTCTTAACATTCTGATCTGAACCTAGACAGCCTTCACTCGCACTCATTTGCTCTCTTTATTGACCAAACACTTAGGGCAGGAGCCAAAGTGGAGAAGTTGGGTGCCCCAAGTCCTAGAGCCCTTCCCTGGCTCCTTGCACCTAACTGCACGACCAAGTCCTTGGCATAAACCTGGGCCTCGGCTCAGGGTCCTTCCCAGCCTTGCGACCAGCCTCTACCAAAAGACCCGAATCGGCCCTATGGCCAAACAGTCTTGATGACTCTCGAGAGATTCACAGAGCTGACTCTCACCTACACAAAGACCTACCCAGGGAACCACGAGAGAAGCCTCGAGGGCTTCCTGCAGCAGGCAGCTCTGAGCAGGAGCAGCGCAGGGAAGCTGAGCTGGAGGGGGAGGTCCTCACGCCTCTCCGCCTCCCGCCCCCTCACTCCCTGCCAGCTGCTCGCCTCCTCATCAGCCCGGCAGCAGAGGTTGTGGAAGGGCAGGCGGTGACCCTGAGCTGCCAGACCAGCCTGAGCACCTCTCCTGACACCCGCATCTCCTGGTACCGGAATGGAGCGCTCCTCCTCGAGGGGTCCAGCAGCCTGCAGCTCCCCGCGGCCTCCAGTGCGGACGCTGGCTCATACCACTGCCGGGGCCAGGATGCCTACAACACCAGTGACCCCTCCTTGCCGATTGTCCTCACCGTGCTCTGTGAGCAGCTTCCTACTGGCCACTGTCTGCTATGGGGAGGACTGTCCCCAGAGGCCCACCAGCCACCTCCTGTGTGGCCCCAGGGCCTAGGTCAGGGGTCAACCTTAGGCCTGGGCACCATGGGTAGAAATTGAGAAAACAAAGCTGGGGCTCTCTGTGTCCCCCATGGCCTACCCTGCGCTCCCAGCCCACAGGCCTTTGTCTGGTGTGCTCTAGGGGGAACCTGAAGGCCTGGGTAGAGGCTGTGGGATCCCAGCTCATGCTCTTCCTCCCTACAGATGCCCCACGCCGCCCCACCTTCACAGCTCACCTGGACACTGATGCTCCAGAAGATGGGGCTGGGCGGCAGGGCCTCCTCTTGTGCCGTGTGGACAGCGATCCCCCAGCCCAGCTGTGGCTGCGTCACAGGGACCAAGTGGTGGCCTCCTCCCTGCCTCCAAGGGTTGGCTGCAGCACCTGTAGAGGCTACTCCCCGCGCACAAAGGTCACCAGAGCTCCCAACTTGCTGCGTGTGGAGATTCAAGACCCTGTGCTGGAGGACGAGGGTGTGTATCTGTGTGAGGCCAGTAATGCCCTAGGCAAATCTTCGGCCTCAGCAACCTTCAATGCCCAGGGTGAGTGGGGGCAGGGCTGGGAGGCTGGGGTCCGGAGCTGGCTGCAAGGGGGGGTCTGTGGGAAAATCACCTCCTTCAGCAGTGTGAGGGAGCAAAGCTCCTCCCTCCACACTGAAGGAGGCCAAAGCCCCTGTGCTCAGTGTTTGGGAGGAATGTGGGTCTGGGGCTCTGAGGGCGAGCTCTGGGGAGGGTCTCCAGGTGGGCCCCCTTCTCCTTTGCTGGACACTTTCTGTGCCCAGTGCTTTCCATGCTCCTCAGGGCCTGCTTCTCATAGGCTCCCCGAGAGTGAGCTCCCTCCTAGGCCCAGTCGGCACCCCACAGGGTTCCCTTCTGCCCCCACCAGCCTGGGAGTGGAATCCTAGTCCTGGGCATGGCGGTGGGGAGGAAGCGGCCAAGGTGAGGCCTGTCGCGAGCAGGCCTGCGCTGCTGCTCTCTAGCCACTGTCCTGGTCATCACGCCGTCAAACACGCCGCAAGAGGGAACAGGCGCCAACCTGACTTGCAGCGTGAGCCAGGGCGCCGGCAGTGGTCCTGCCAACTTCTCCTGGTTCCGGAATGGGGCGCTGTGGGCCCAGGGCCCCCTGGAGACTGTGACGCTGCTGCCCGTGGCCAGAACGGACGCTGCCCTCTACGCCTGCCGCATCCTCACTGACGCTGACACCCTGCTCTCTGCTCCCGTGGTCCTGAGTGTGCTCTGTGGGTGATAGACAAGGGCAGAGTTGGGCATCCAGGGGGCTGATGGAGTGGCCGGGGGGGGGGGACAGGGCTGGAGGTGGGTTTGAGGAGGTGAGAGTTTGGCTTGGGCATGGGTAAGGGTGGGTCTGTACTATGTGTGGCGAGGGAGGCGAGGGGCAGCTGGCGGTGGTGTGTTGGGCTGGGCTGGCCTGAGCTCCGCCTGTTCTCACAGATCCTCCAGACCCACCAAAGCTGGCAGCCCTCCTGGATGTGGGCCAGGGTCACGTGGCTCTGTTTGTCTGCACTGTGGACAGTCGTCCGCTGGCCCAGCTGACCCTATTCCATGGGGAGCGCCTCCTGGCCACCAGCCTGGGCCCTCAGCTTCCATCACATGGTCGTCTCCAGGCCAAAGCCACGGCCAACTCCCTGCAGCTAGAAGTCCGAGACCTGGGCCTTGAGGATTCTGGCAGTTACCGATGTGATGCTACCAATGCCCTGGGGTCAGCCAATACCTCTGTCTACTTCCAGGTCCGAGGTGAGTGTCAGTGTCCGAAGCTATGGTAGACCAGACTCCCGGGGGCCACTCAGGTTGGCCTGGGGCTGGAGCCAGCCAGCAGAAGGCCTCCCTTCGTCTCTAGCTTGGTAATTTGACCTGTAAAAGGTGATGGCAGCCAATAAAAGGCACTGGCAATTGCACAAAATGGGGTGCTGGGAACACTCCACTCTTATCTGACAGAAAACTTCTTTAGTAATATTATTTTGTTACATGATAACAATCTTCAAACAAAATCTAGTGTATGTGTATTATGGACATGCAGGTATGTGTTAGAGGTTATAATGCATATAGTATGAACTACATGAATGCACATATATATACAACATATACATAAAACACATGTACATAATAATACATTTTATATTCTTCATTAATGTAGATATTCAGATAGGTAGGTAGATACATAGATTCTTCAGCAAAATTCTCCCTAGGTGAATAATCTTGGGGGGAAAAAATAACCATAATTCTGCAAAGACCAAAGAAAAATACCACAAACTTTTTCTCCCAGAATGACAAGCCACATCAACTCGGGACATTTTCTTTGGGCTTTTCACTGGCATAGTGTCTCTTATTTTCCAGACCCATTTCCCAGGCTGAGAAGGCGAGGGTCAGAGCTCCGTGGTGTGTGCATACACACAGCTCCCGGCGGGAAGTGGGGTGCCGCAGCTCCGGGCTGGTCGGCTCTGGCCCCAGGCACAGCCTGCGCTTGCAGCCAGGGACTGGCTGAGCCGCCTTGTCACTCCACCCACCCCGTTCTCTCCCTGCCTCAGACCCTGGGACCCTTGGATGGCTCCTGGGCCCTCGTGACCTGGAGCCTGGGTGCAGAGCTGGACTGGGGAGAAGTTGGATCTCACCACTTCTAGCTTCCCCTTCCAAGACCTCGGTCACCCATGCTGAGCCAGCTCATGATCAGGACAAAGGCCTTGGCATGATCTAAGTGCCATTCAGTTCAGTGCTTTGTGGGGTCAAAGCAAGATCTGCACGATCTAAAACACGTGGTGCTGTGCATCTCCTCATGAGGCTTGTCCTATGGTAGGCGAGATGATTGTCAGGACAAAACCATTTCTTAAGACGGGGGTGGGGGGGGATTAAACACTAGGACAAAACCAGCCCAGGGGTTCAGGAGCAGAAGAAGGAAAGGCATGGGGCTGAAGGGGGCCTCTGCAGCGGTCTCTGAGGGAGCTGAGGCCTGGGACCTGGGATGCGGTCATGCAGCCCTGGCGTGAGTGTGGTGGGAGGTCCTCTCATGCCCTCTGTTTCTCACCGCAGGGGCCTGGGTGCAAGTGTCACCATCACCTGAGCTTCAAGAGGGCCAGGCTGTGGTCCTGAGCTGCCAGCTACCCAAAGGGGAGCCAGAGGGGACCTCGTACCTTTGGTATCGGGATGGCCAGCCCCTGCAGGAGGCAACCTTGGCCACGCTCCGCTTCGCAGCCATAACTCTGAGCCAAGCGGGGGCCTATCATTGCCAAGCCCAGGCCCCAGGCTCAGGCACCACGAGCCTGGCTGCCCCTGTCAGCCTCCATGTGACCTGTAAGCACTTTCACCCTGTTGGGGTTTGTTGGGAGGTGAGCCGCCAAGCACATGGCTGGGGGGGACGCCGAGCTCCTCGGACTCAGAGAGCCCTGGACAAGGGACCCCCTGGCCAGAGACTTGACCTTCCCCACCTTGTGTAGATGCCCCACGCCAGGCCACACTTACCGCCCTGATGGACACAGGCCCTGGGCGACTGGGTCTCCTCCTGTGCCGGGTGAACAGCGACCCTCCCGCTCAGCTGCGACTGCTCCACGGGACCCGCCTCGTGGCCTCCACGCTGCAGGGCGCCGGGGAGCCTGCAGGCGACTCTCCCCGGCTGCACGTGGCGGTGGCGCCCAATGCGCTGCGCCTGGAGATCCACAATGCGACCATGGAAGATGAGGGTGTCTACACCTGTGAGGCCGCCAGCCACCTGGGCCAGACCTCGGCCTCGGCCAGCCTCGATGCTCAGGGTCAGTGTGGCCATGTGAGTGTATGCATGGCTGGCTCTTTTAAGAGAGAGAGCAGGTTGGAGAGGGTTCTGGAAGCTGGGGCAGAATATAAGGACCATTCCCACCCTTATTTTTTAAAGATTTATTTATTGATGCAGAACTTGGGTACAGGCCAGAGGTGCGGCGGCAGTGAGAGGCCTCACCAGAGACAGAGTGGGGAGCAGAACAGGCAGATCGACGAAGTACACTGCTGAGGGGAGCAGTGGGCAGGTCAGGAGAGGTCTGCCGAGCTATGGGTCACCTCCCTGGTCAGGGATGGAACCTGAGGTGCAGTGGCTGTAATAGCGTCAGAGTACTGAGACTTAACCCCTTGTGCCACCAGAGAGGCCCCATTCCCACCCTTTCTAAGGCAGCAATCTCTTGATTTGGGCTTCTGTTTGTTAAAAACAGGATTTTGCATGGACGCCCAATAGGTTAGGCTAATCAGGAAATGGAGTGTGAAGGAGGGGCCACAGTAGAGCGGGGCCCTGTGTTCTTCCGCGGGCCCTGTGTCAGAGTCAAGGAGGGCTCAGGAGACTCCAGAACCTACAGAGCCCGGCTCAGGGCCAACTGCAGAAGGAGGAGCTGTGGCCAAGGCCTCCCGGAGGCCAGTGTCTGGCTTCCCACAGCCTTGCGACCCTCGTGGGTATCTGTCATTCTCTCCTCAGCTGTGAGCCTGCAGGTGTGGCCCAAGGCCACGGTGCAGGAGGGACAGCTGGTGAACCTGACCTGTCTCGTCTGGACCAGCCGCCCGGCCCAGCTCACCTACGTATGGTACCAGGATGGGCAGCAGCGCCCAGGGGCCCACTCCATCTCCCTGCCCAAAGTCAGGGTGGTGGATGCTGCCTCCTACCGCTGTGGCGTGGTGCCCCAGGGCCAGGCCCCCCGCCTCTCCACGCCTGTCACCCTGGAAGTCCTCTGTGAGTGTGCTGGCTGGGCGCAGGGTGGACTGGAAGGTGCGGCAGCAGGCTCCCAGCCAGGTTCCCACCAGGACTCGGCACCAGCTGGCCGGAGTGCTGTACAAGGAGCAAAGAACTGGGGGCGGGGTGGGGCCATGTCCCACTGGGCAGGGGCCAGTGCCCCACACTGGGCAGCTGCGCCCTTGGGTGGGAAGTCAGGTCTCTGAGCCCTCCCACCCCCCACCCCACCTCCATGCCCTGCAGTCGCGCCCCGGAACCTGCGTCTGACCTACCTCCTGGAGAGCCGTGGTGGGCAGCTGGCCCTGGTGCTGTGCACTGTGGACAGCCACCCACCTGCCCAGCTGACCCTCAGCCATGCTGGCCGCCTCCGGGCCTCCTCCACAGCAGCCTCCGCCCCCAACACTCTGCGCCTGGAGCTGAGGGAGCCTCAGCCCAGCGACGAAGGTCTCTATAGCTGCTCTGCCCTCAGTCCCCTGGGCCAGGTCAACACGTCTCTGGAGCTGCGACTGGAGAGTGAGACAAGGCCCGGTCAAGCCCACCAGGGGGTGGGGGTCAGCTGTGGGCCTGACTGGGGCCAGCCGACCTTGGCCTCTTTGGCGCAGGTGTGCAAGTGACCTTGGTTCCCTCAGCCACCGTGCCCGAGGGGGTGCCTGTCACAGTGACCTGTGAGGACCCTGCCGCCCGCCCGCCCGCCCTCTATGCCTGGTACCACAACAGCCGTTGGTTACAGGAGGGACCCTCTGCTTCCCTCTCGTTCCCGAAGGCTTCACGGGCTCACGCCGGGGCCTACTCCTGTGAGGTCCGGGATGCCCAGGGCGCACGCAGCTCTCGGCCGGCAGCCCTGCAAGTCCTCTGTGAGCAGGGGCCCTGGGTTGGGGGTGCCCAGGTTATCTGGAGGGAAAATCTGGCCCTGGTGTGGGTGGGCAGAGGACTACAGCGAACCAGGAACGGGCACTTGGGGAAAGAAGGACACAGGTGATGAAGGGAGAGCCGTTAGTGCCCCATGAGCCCTGCTTGAAGAGTCTGTCCACAGGAGGCAGTGACCATTTGTCCAGAGGCTTCAGCCTCACTGATGTCAGACAGGGGGTAGTGGACTATCTATACATATTCCAAGCAAGCCCCGCCAACCGTGCCCCGCCCCATGCCTAGATCCTCCTCAGAACGCTGCTCTGTCCTCCTTCCGGGACTCGAGGGCCAGCCCCACAGCCGTGGTGCAGTGCACTGTGGACAGTGAGCCGCCTGCCGAGCTGGCCCTGTCCCGCAACGGCAAGGTGCTGGCCACGAGCACCTTGCCTCACGAGCACCGTGAGGTCCACGACTTGGCTTCAGGGACAGGCCGTGTCCAGGTCGCCCGCAACGTCCTGCGACTACGCGTGCAAGACGTGCCCGCGGGCGACCAGGACATCTACGTCTGCACGGCCCACAACCTGCTGGGCTCCGTCAGCACGACCGGGCAGCTGCAGGCGGAAGGTGAGTGCGCCAGGCAGGGGGTGGGAGTCCACGTGGTCCTGCAGCTGCCATAGAAGGGGCTGCCTCTCTGGGAGGGGTAGACACAGCGAAGCAGAATCTGACCCAAGGGGAACGGCCCACTGGAGGGGTTGCCTAGCCTGAGGGGGTGATCTCCCTACACGGGGGAGGTGTCACAACACCCCGGGGGAGCCTGGGTGGAGGGAAGACATCACCCTGTCCTCACTGAGCCCCATCTGGGGGTGAGGGTGCAGTCCGCTCAGAGAGGAGGTGTAGCCCCACCCTCGTGGAATCTGAGGGCACCCTGGGTCATACAGCCTCCCTCATTGGAAAGCCCGGTTTGTTGAAGGAGGAAGTGACAGTCCTGGAAGTTCCCAGTGCAAGGACAAGCGAGCCCTGTTCTCTGAGGGCCAGATCCAGTCCCGTCAGACCTTCCCACCATGCACAGAGGCTTCCCAGATACCCAGGTCCACCCAGAGCCTCTGGCTTTCACAGGCCTGCAGGTCCCACCTGCTCCCGGTCCTCGCCTGCAGGTGTTCGCGTGGTGGCGGAACCCGGGCTAGACGTCCCTGAGGGCGCAGCCCTCAACCTGAGCTGTCGCCTCCCCACTGGCCCCCCGCCGCTGGGCAACGCGACTTTCGCTTGGTTCTGGAATGGCCGGCAGCTGCATGCAGACTCTGTGCCCACCCTGGCCTTCTCCCACGTGTCCCGGGCCCACGCGGGGGTGTACCACTGCGGGGCTGAGCTCTCCGCGGGGGTGACCACGTCCACGCCAGTCACGCTCCGTGTGCTCTGTGAGTACGACTCCTTCGGCCCTGCCTCGACCTTCCGTATCTCATGCATCTTCCTCTTCTGTCTGCAAAGAACAAGAACGTCACAGGAATGAGTCTTGGGCTGGGATCCCGGCTCTCCTGCCGGCTGGTTTTGTGGTCTTGGCCATCTTGCCTGGGTTTCCTCATCTGTAACGCATCAGTCTCCTGATAGGGGCTGGGAGAACCTGGAGGCCGCAGGCCTCCACTGGCCTTGGCTCCCTGCCCTGTTCTTCACCGGCTCATGCCGTATCAGTCAGCTAATGCTTCCTATCAAGCCACCCCAACTGACTGCTGAAGACTAATAGTCATTTTATTTGCTTACCATTCTGGGGGTCAGACACTTGGGCTGGGCTCAGCCGGGCAGGTAGTTCTGATCATACCGCAGGGCTGCTGTCCATGATTGACCTAATACCCCATGATCTGCAAGGGCCTGTACGCTTACACTTGGTGATTGAGGCTGGTTGTTGGTTGGGCCGTGTGTCCAGCAGCCCGGCCTGGCCTTCCCACGTGGTTGTGTTCCAAGGAGAGCAGAAGCTTGAAGACCCAGCCTGGAAGTCACACAGTGCCCCTTCCTCTGCCTCGTAGTGGTCAAAGCCAGTCAGATTCAAGGCATGAGGGAATAGGTTCTGCCTCTTAAAGACAGGGGCAGCAAGCCCTTTTGCACGGGGACACGGAAGGGAGGAATCTGTGCAATCACCGCGCCTGTCTTCCCGTAGACCCTCCCAAGACGCCCACCATGACCGTCTTTGTGGAGCCTGAGGGTGGGATCTGGGGCATCCTGGACTGCCGAGTGGACAGCGAGCCCTCAGCCAGCCTGACCATCCACCTGGGCGATCGGATGGTGGCCTCCAGCCAGCCTCGGGGCACCCCTCCTGAGCCCCACATTCACGTCTCAGCCACCCCCAATGCCGTGAGGGTGGACATCAAGCTGAGGTCCAGTGACCAGGGCGAGTACGTGTGTTCAGCCTCCAATGCCTTGGGCTCTGCCTCTGCTTCCACCTACTTGGGAACCAGAGGTGAGGAGGGCGCCTCTCCGAGGCCACTCTGCACAGACCCCGCGGCCTCGGGGGCCAGAGCTGCCTTCTGAGGTCTTTCCTTGGTCCCTTCTGCTGCAGTCTGTCTAGCCTAGACTCGTTGCTTTCTTGCATGGGGAGGTTTCTGAGGTAAAGTGAGTTTGAACACATTTCATCGTGGAAGAGTCGCCTGGGGAGGGAGCGCTGGAGGCTGGAGCCACAGCTGCCCCTGAGCCCGGCCTGTGTTCCAGCCCTGCATCATCTGCACCTGTTCCAGCAGCTGCTCTGGGTCCTGGGGCTGCTAGTGGGCCTTCTGCTCCTGGTTTTGGGCCTGGGGGCCTATTACATCTGGAGGTAGGTCTGGAGCTGGGGGGTGCACGGGTCACCCCACCCTTCCAATATGCCCCCTTCCGAACTCTCAAACTCCACGTTTCCTAGCCTGTTTCCCACGCAAATTTGGGAATTCCTTCTAGAACGTCTCTAAGCCCCCCTTGCTGTAGTTTTCTTCTTTCCATATCTCCCCCCCTCACAGTGCTGAGGAAAGGATTAGGGAGGGAAAAAGAGAAGGTACCCCACTCCCCCAAGGCTGCCCACTGAGCAGTCTGGGGCCAAGCAGGCGGGCGGGCAGGGACAGGGGAGAGGCACCCTGAGCCCACTCTTGTCCTTGCAGTAGGAGGCGCTTTTATAAGCTGAGTGTGGATGAGGATTCGGTGGAGATGACTTCGCAGAAGGAGAGCACACAGGTATCTGTCCACCTGCCCAGCCAACCCACGATATAGGGCAGATACCAAGAGACCACTCTCATTAGTGGATGCTGCCTGGGAAACTGGGGGAAGAATGTGGAGACCCTTCTCAGGGGCCCCTGAGCTAGGGGCTGGGTGATGACTGCTTCCAGAGTCCTCCTGTGACCAGGTTTTCTTTGTGGGAAGCTCACTGATGCAGATACAGTCATATTTGCCACCTCACTCAGTGCTTCACCCCTGAACTGACCCACGCCTTTGCCTGCTCTCAGGGAGACGAAATCTTCAATGACATAGGCCCCATGAATGAGGAGGTGTTGCCTCTGTGAAAACAATTGTGTGACATCAGACTTTCCATGACCTGTCTCCAATCCTCTTGCCCCCAAGAAAAATGGGTAGTAAGGAAGAAGAGAAGCCCAGCCCTCTGAGGAGGCAGACCAGAGGGTCTCGAAGAGAAATGAGTTGACGGTGCTCTTAGCTTCCCTTTCTCTTTTCTCTGGATCTCATCTCTCCATTTGTCTTCCCATGCTCACCTCTTCCTACCTTTTACCCCAAGCCCGCTCTGGACTTTTTGGATGTATTCAAATAGAAGAACTGCTTTCTAATCCTCAAAGAGACTTGGTATTAGAAAGATTAAAAAGAGACCAAATACACAGACTTCAACATGAAAGAATTTTGTTTTTTTCTCCCACACTAGTCTGGGTATATCATAGTGGTTTAAGGTGTTGTGCCTTTGGAAGTTTCAATCTTATTTTTCTCTACTCCTAAAATGTTGCCTTGTGTGTGAGGTTCGTGATGACCCCACTGTGCCCATATTCTTTCTGGCAAGAAGAGGGAAGAGTGGAAGTAGAAGGCACACCCATGTCCATTGTGAATACAACCTGGAAATTTCCAGTCATTTCTACTCACTTCCCATTGGCAAGAATTTAGTCACATGACACTGCAAGCTGTAAGGAATGCTGGGAAATGTAGTTTTTATTTTACTTTCTGAGGACTCCCAACTATGGACTCATTGACTCTTGTCACTGATAGGCAAGCTGGCTGCCAGCAGGCCACATTCAGTCTCAGCGCACATCTGTTGAAGGCTGGGGTATGTCCCTGGCCATTCTGGCCATGGGCTTTCTAGAAGGGATAGCCCTTCTCACACATAAGGCTGAGCCAGTCAAGGAGGCTTGCTGTCCCTTGGGAGAGTGTGTGCCTGCTTCCCTGAGCAGGAACCTTGTGCCAGATCTGACTTCTGGAAAGAGAGGTGTACCAGTCACCAGTCCCACCCCCTGGGTGGAGGTGCAACAACAGACAAATCCTCACCAGTCTTTGCCAGGCCTTGTATTGTGCTTTATTCATGGTCTCTCTCCTCTTCCTCTTCAGGATGGTTTTCTTTTCCATGGTTAGGATTTGTGTCTTTGTGATTTCCCCTTTCTTGGCATCCACGTTCTCTCTTGGAATCTCCCAATTGTGCACCCTGTTTATGATGGATGGTGGGTCTCTCCACACCCCCACCCCTGCCATTCTTCACCAAATCCTTCCCAAATGAGAGAAGAATAACAAAATGGCTCTGGGGAGCGATGGGATGCTTTCTCTGTGCTCCTGGTTCACTGTGCAGGAGGATCGGGGAACTCTACCCTGGAGAGGTGACTTCTGCTCTGTGCGACCCTGTTAAGTCAACCACAGGGAGAGGGTGTTGTGCCAGCAAGCACAGGGGAGGTTCACTATCGATTTGGGCAAATGGATAAAGAGAGTCCAAGAGGCCTCGGTGGGTTTTTCAGATGTTAGTCCTCTCTCAGGGAACCAGGCACCCACATACACGGGTACACCAGGCAGGGGAGGTGGGCAGGCAAGCTCACCAATCTTTTACACTGTTTCTCTGGGCTCTCTCTGGTGTCCTCTCTCTCTCTTTCTCTCTTCACCTCATGGTCTTGTCTCTTCTGTAGTCACACGGCAGTAGCCACTGCCACTGCTCTTATCTCCGCCTGGTGAGGATTTGTCTGTTGTCACACCTCCCCCCTGAGGGTGGGACTGGTGACTGCGCACACCCATGCTCCAGGTGTCTACAATGAGGGACATCACCCCACGCCCACGCTCCCAAGAGCCTTCTGCAAAACACTATCAAGGCCACAGGGGATAGCTACAGAGGCTAGCAGTGTAAAAGGCTGACTAATTCATTTATCCAACAGAGGAACTGAAGCCTCCTCACAGTGGCTGCACTGGAGTCCCCCGCTTGACTGAGCCATCATGGTCTGTGTTAGGTCTGGCTCCCCACGATGAGACTTCAAGTGCTACCAACTGAAGAATCAAGGATATGCTTTTAGGGGACACTACAAAGGAAGGAAGCTAAGGACACATACACATGCTTGTCCCTAGCAGCAGTTTTTCTAACATCTCAAAACTAGGAGACACAGCAACTGCGGACTTGATGGAAAAGGAAGGAGGTTAACTCACACATTAGAATACTACCCAGCAATGACTATAAATAAGCTGAAGTCACACGCAACAGGCTGGATACATTTCTTACAGTGGGAAAAATATTTGTAACTCATCCTCCAGAGACAAGGTTAACATCCCTTGTTTATAGAAAGTTCCTTCAAATTCTTAAGAGAACAGCTAGCAACTCAATAGAAAAGTGGGCTGTAGATATGAACAGGGAAAAGGAAATCCAGCGTTAGAATAAACATTCAACCACACCCATAAGAAAAATGCAAATGAAAACTATACTTTCACTTTCAGAGGAGCAAATATCACAAAGTTGGATCACACCTAACTGTGCTGATCACACTGTGGAAAAACAAGCACTCGTTTTGTCCCAACATTGCTGGCATAACTATAAATGGGCACCAAATTGAAGGGCAGTTGACCCAAATCACAAACATACATCCTTTAACCAGTGGCCCTTTTTGTAAAAATTCATCTCATACATAGGCTCGTCAAGAGTCCCAATTTAGTACTGTTTGTAGTGGCAAAGGGACTGGATAATACCTACATGCCCTAAAGGAAACTATATGAACAAGTGGTAACGTTCCACTACACAAAATGCTGTGCCTTCACTACAGTGGCTAAAATTTAAAACTGACAATGCTAAATGTTCACAAAGCTGTAGGAGAATGGGACCTCTCACACATGGCCGGTGGGAATGGAAAACAGTACAACCACTTTAAAAAATAGTTTGAGTAATTAAATATGCCCTTACCACATGCCCTGCTGTTCTCCTTTCAGGAATTTATAGAGGATGAAAATATTTGTCAACACAAGGACTCCCAGAGTCCTTGCAATTCTGCAGCAGCTGTATTTAAAAGAGCCCCAGACTAGAAAAGACCCAAAAAGCCTAACTGGGGACTAGAGATACAATGAAAGCACAAACTGTTGTTCCTTCATACCAAGAAATACTACAGGGGAACATATCACCCAAACATGAAACAATGTGGACAACTCTCAAAATCATAAAGCTGGAAGGAAGCCAGGTACAAAAGTACATGCGTTCTGATTCTATTTACATGAAGATCTAGAACAGGCAGAGCTTACTATTAGTCAGAAAGCAGCGGTTGCCTCCTGTTGGGAGAAAGGTTTGACTAGGCAGAGGGTGGTATCCTGGAAGTGATGGACATGCTATTTCTGGACTGTGGTGGTGATTTCACCTCACTCTAAACACACTTCAAGAGGTGTGTTTCATTGTATGTAAGTGACACCTTAATGAAGCTGGCTGTAAAACACAAAGTAATAATATTAACAATCATAAGACTCATGATGATGAAAAACTCTAAATGTACTATATGAAGGTCACTAAAGTGTCATAAATGGAAAAATGTACCAACAACAAACAAAGGAGCAGAAAAATGTTAAGAGAAAAAAATATCCGTCTGTATTGGCATAGTATTGGACTTGTGGATGTATAAAATACACTAAAAGCCTATACAAGAAGCTAATAATAGTAGCTCTCTGTTGGGGAATATGGCCTGAGAGAATGGAGACAGAAGAGAGAATGTTTTATTCTATGTGGTGAAATTCGAATGAAGCACCTGAGTTGCCCAGGCTGCTGGAACTCTTGCTCAGTTGCAGAGTGAACAGCTCCGGCATTGCAATAGCCATTCACCAGTCGCCATGAGAATTTACTACTTAGTACACAAACAAATCTTTAAAGCAAGAACCAGATGTCGCTGAGGCAGAAAGGATTCCCCCACATCTGGGGTTCTGGCTTTTCAATTCTCCCCCAGGCCACTGTCAAGGACAAAGGACGCCCCCATCCACCCACCCACGCTCCAGCCACAGGCCCGTCTGCGCCTCACCTTCGCAGGGCGCGGCGCCCAGAGAACTGCCACTTCCCCTCGCTGCTCCCCGCACCTACCGCGCGCGGCCCGCAGGCAGGGACCCGCCGCCAGGGAGGCCCCGCGAGGGCGCGGTCGCATCTACCTAGTCTTGCCTTCTCCTGGGCACCCAGCGCCAGCAGAGGCTCCACCTCAATTTCCGTCCTCCTCTGGGACCACGGAGCTGGGCGCTCCCGGGCTGACCCGAGGAGCAACAGGTGGTCCGCTAGCCTTGACCTTTGTCCCTCCCCTTCCCTTCTCCGCCACTGCCCTCAAGGCCGGTCCAGGGCATTCCCGCCCCATTTCCATGGTCCTTCCCCACGACTAGGGGGCACTCTGAGACCTAAGGGGCGCGATGGCGCGGGCCGGTTCCCCAGGGGGCTGCAGAGATTCCCGCCCCCGCCGCGCCCCGCCCAGCTGGCTCTACCCTTAGATGGACGCTCGCGTCTGGCTCCCAAAAGGCGCGCAAGGTCGCGTACCGCCGCCGGGGTGCGACCCGGTGGGCTGCGGTTCTGGCGCGAGCGGACAGGGGCGACGCGGGGATCGCGGCGCCGCGCGGACGGGTCGGGGGGCGGCGGCCCGGCTGCTCCGCGCGAGGATCGGGCTCAGATCCCGAGATCCCGCCCGGGCCCCGATCCCGAGTGGGTCGGGCCAAGATCCCCTCAGGGCGGAGTCGGTAGCCTGCAGCGGCAACTTGGAGGCGGAGGAGCGCACAGCTATGGGCCGGGGGTCTCGGAGCGCGCCTGGCTCTTGCACTTTGCTGCTCCTGCTGCTGCAGCTACCTTGGCCGATGCAGACATTTCCAGGTGAGGACTTGGGTCGGCGCGTTGCTAAAGGCTGGGAGGCCATGGCCAGGACTTGGAGGTCTGCCACTCCAAGGACTGTGTGTCCTGGAGGGCTGGGGAGGGTCTCTGTGGGCCTGCCTGGCATTTTGCCTAGCTGCCACTAAGCCACTGGCCAAGGCAGTAGCCTTCTCCCTGAGCAACTACCCAGCCGCTCAGTACCACCTGTCTAGTTTCCAACTGCACCACCCCCAGGCCCCATCAGAGGTGTGACCTGTCCTGTGCTTCCACTGGCCCCCTGGAATGGCCTGGCTGTGGCTGCTACATTCAGATAGCACCGCGCTCACCCCTCTCCCCAGGGCCTGGGGGCAGTGTGTGTATTGTTTATATGATTGCCTTGTTTGGTTAGGTAGAAGGGCAGCTTCAAACAGAAGGTGCCTGTTAGGCAGAGGGAAGGTTGCAGCACCCTAATTTCTCTCCCTACCCTCTCCAAACCCTCTGGATGGTGCTGGTGTCCACAGCCTCTCCAAGCAGGCGGAGGGACCCAGGAGGCCTGTATATCAGCGCCTGGCCAGGGCAGAAGGAGGGCCCCGGGGGAGGGAGGAGGGTCTGGGCAGCTTGGGTGGGCTGTCCCAGCTGTGTTCTGGGGCCCCCATGGAAGGAGACAACTGCCCAGGCATTCTCCTAAGGCTGGGTCACAGGAGAGGGATATGTGTTCCCCAACACCAGGCTGACTGCCCACTCCCACCCACCTGGAATCTTTCCCTGCCTCCCCCTTGTCTAGAGCACGTGGCCATCTTGGGTACCAACCCACACCTTCATGTGCACACATGCACACCCTCGCCTCCACCCTTGGAGGCCTGAGGCCAGCAAGGCCTGGACCTCCACACCCAGTTTTGTCCTTTCTGGGTGGAGACACCTGCCCCTCCCCTGGAGGCACTCACATCCTACCCTCGCTGACCCTTCAGCCTCCATTCCAAGGTTATGGGCCCCCACCCATACCCCACCCTCATCTACCTGGTGGCAATTTGCTCATCTAGCCTGGGAGGGTTTCTTGGAGGAAGGGAGCTCCAGGACGTCCTGCTACTTCTGGTCTTTGATGGTGAGGTCTGGGGGAGGAGGTGGAGCAAGAGGAAGGAGTTGGGGTGGCCCAGCAGGAGCTGAGCCAGTTCCTCAGGCATCCATGCTGCCTGGCCAGGACTGGGGGCAGGGCTGGGTGGGGGTTGGGGCGCTGTCAGCTCTGGGGGCTGGGCTTGCCCGGCACTGAGGCCCTAGGGGTGGGAGGGCTGCCTGTGGGCTGGGCCTCCAGGGGCCTGGGCCCTTGAGGCATGTGTGGTGAGTTGCTGGGCCCACTGGGAGGGGGGGCAGGGAGCATTCCAGGGGAGCATTCCAGTTGCCTTCTGAGTAATGTTTGGCTCTGGTTTTCCCCTTCTGGAGCCCCTTTAGGCAGACCCGGCCTGGGAGCATGCAGGCTCGGCCCCCAGGCCCCTCCAGGAAGGCAGGAGGAGGGGGCAGCTGGGTCTTGGTCCTTGGAAGCCTGCATCCAGAATGAAGCCCCCATGGGGAGTTCTGGGCAAGGTGTCCCTCCCTAGACAACATCTGGCTGTTGTTTTTCTCAGTGGAGAGATACAGTCATCCTCTGCTCACAGAGTATTCACTCTAAAGACATCTGCTGCCCAGTCTAAAAATACCCCAGGCCTCCTCCTTCCCTCTCCTCGGCTCTGGGGACCTTGGACTCTTCCTTGTGACCTCTGACCCAAGCCCTTGCCCTTGGCAAGCTCAGCCGGGACTCCCATGTGCTCAGCTAAGCTGTCTGTTCCAAGTCTCTGTCTCTCTTTTGCCACCTTCCTGGCTGCTTCTCAGTTCCAAGGATGCCCCAAGGGTACCCACTTTCTCGGGGCTAAATCTTCAAGTGTTGAAAATGGAGTCTCCCCTCTTCTTGCTGATGTCTTCTCACCTGTCCCTCTGTGTTCCCCCCTATGCTTTGTCCTCACCCCAGGAAACACCCCTGGAGAGCCAGCCACCCTTCACTGGGTCCTGGATGGACGGCCCTCAAGCACGGTTCCCCTGGAGCTGGTCAGTGCCTCATCCTGCCCTTTGCAGGAGCCCTGGATCTCGGAGCCCCATGAACCCCACCCTCCATCCCCCCACCCGCAAAGGGTTGGCTGGGCGGGGAGCTTGCACATGGAAGGCATTTTCAGGCTTCCTCCCCCCACTGCCTCCTCCCTCTTCCCTGCTTCCCCACCCCAGGCAGAGGTGGGGCTAAAGTTGACAGGACCTAAAACTTTTCGGGAACATCTTTGAGTACCAAAATATCTTCCTTCTGCCAAGTTTACTGGAGAATGTGATCCTGATCCTGTCAACACATCGCTGTTGTCTGTAAGACCCTGACCTTGCAGCACTTGAACTCCAGCCTCACTGGCTCAGCAGGTCCACTTCTGGCCAGGGGGCAGTGGTCAATCTCCTGTTCCTCACCAGATGCAGGCCCACCCGCCCCATTTTGCTTCTCCAGGACACTCTGCCCCAGGCTCCTCCAAACACCCATCCACCACATACTTCGAGACCATTCCACCATCTATATAAGTCACACCGGGTGCTATAAACCAGGGTACCAGCAGCCACGCTCATTCCAAAGAGGGGCAAACTGAAGCCCAGAGAGGCTGGGGAATTGCCCAAGGTCACACAGCTCTTTAGTTTGGAAGCCTGAAACTTGCTAAGTTCCCCAAATCATTGGCCCATAATCCTCAAACCTAGCGAGCCTCCTCCACCCTGAATTGTCAAGCAAGAGAAGACCTGTCATCCAAGGTAACAGGGAAGACATTCTGCCATGATGGCTGGGGCTCCGCAGGCCTGGCCTTCGGGCCTTACCGCCCCACTCAGGTGGTCAAGCATGGCTCTGCCCAGGGTTTTGAGATGGCTCATCAGGAGATCACCAGCAGAAGGGAGAGCTGGCACACAGTGGTGTCACTCTCTCCCTTCAGGCCTGACCTGGGTTGTGACCAGGAAGGAATCCCCGAGTGCTTTGCCCACTTATGGGAAAGTCAGCCCATGGGAAGTCTGCCAAGTTGGGGACAGCAGAATCCCCAGAGGCATGAAACATCCACATTTCGGGTCAGGTTGATGTACATGGCAAGAGGCAGGTTTACCAAGAGGACAAGAAGGGGGGACAGCAGGGGCCGTGGAGGGCTGAGCTGTGGGTGCGAGTGGGGCAGGAGGCAGCTTTTCCCTCAGTGCTTTATTTCTCCGATGAAGCAAGTGACATGCATGGCCACCCCTGACTCGGATCCCCATGCCTGGGCTCAGCCTAGAGCATTGTGGGATGTAAGGGACAAACCAGGAAGGGTGGGGGAGCCAGCGTTCTGAAGAGACAGCTGCTGTCCAGGGCTCCTGGGCCAGCTCCAGCTCCGGGCCCCGGCGGGGCTGAGTGGACGAGAGGGGCGAGAGCGTGTTCCCACAGGACAGAGGAGGCAGAGCGGGGGGACAGCGGGCTGGCCCTGCCTGTCCTCTGACACCTAGCTGTAACGTCTGTTTTCTTCTTGGCGTGGGACGGGAAGGGGAGGGGTGATTCATGTCACCTCACGGGCTCAGTGTAGCAGGTGTGGGGTGGCCTGCTGGAGGCCAGGGGAAAATTGGGGAGGCACTTGGAGAGTCAAGGCGGAGGAGTGAAGTCTGGATTCTGCAGGGAGCTGTGAGCTAGACAAAGAAGCCCTCAGACACCTGTGACAGTGTCCCCACAATGTCTTAGGCCCTCCCTGGCCCTGCTTAGGGGAAAGCTTCTGGGTAGAAAAGAGGCGGGAGCCGGGAGGAAGGGCCAGCCAGCCTGGGTAAGGCCTGACACTTGCTGGCGCTCTCCCCTACCATGGGAAGACGTGGCGTGTACCTGGCGGGCTGCTAAGTGATGGTCTTGCCCCCACGCTTACCATGATGACCGGGGAGCCTGCTGCCCAGCCATGACCGTGATGGCTGGGCAGACCTCAGACCTCACCAGCCAGCTCCACCTCACCTGCTCTCTGGCAGGCTGGAGGCCCGATGCCCCTGGTCTCAGCCTGGCACTCTGCGCCTAGGTCTCAAAGCCGGACGCAGGCCTGGTGGCCGTGGAGGCCGAAGGTCAGCTGCTGCTTCTTGAACTGGAGAAGAACCAGTGAGTACCCGGCCAGGGAAGCACACCGCCTCTCTCTCAGGGTGGGCATCCATGCTGCGGGCTAGTGGATGGGAGGAGGCCCCAGACAGTGAAGGTCAGGAGAATCCCACCCCCTTCCCACATCTAAGCCAGCTCTTTGCACCCTTCGCCCTTCTCCTCCTGACCCAAGCTCTTTCTGAACTGAGCAATAGACAGTCATGCCTATCTCCTCCCTAAGAGACACTTTGGGTGAGTCTTAAGTGCCAGCCTGAGTCTCCCTCAGGGAGAAGGCAGCGGGAGAGACCCGCTGGCGGCAGGGCTGGTTAGGTGATCCCTACACTGCACCCCCTCAGCAGGCTGCTGGCGCCGGGGTACACAGAGACCCACTTCCGCTCGGATGGGCAGCCAGTGGTCCTGGTGCCCGACCACACGGTGAGACACCTCAGGGGCTCTAAGGACAGGGTGAGGGGCGCTGTGGAATGCACCCCCGAGGGAACCCCCATGCCTCCTTTTCCTAAGCTGAGACAGGAGGCAGCCCCAATCACCCTCCTTGCCCCTCTCAATTCAACCCTGTTTGAAATCTGCGCTGGGTCCCTTGTCTCCAGGATCACTGTTACTACCATGGGCGCGTGAGGGGCTTCCCCGACTCCAGGGTGGTCCTCAACACCTGCTCCGGCATGAGGTGAGTCGTTGGGGTAGGGGGCTGGGCCTGAGATCTGGGAGAGCGCCCCCTTACACCCCTCTACACCTCTGCACCCTAGTGGCCTGATCTCACTCAGCGGCAGCGATAGCTATTATCTGCATCCCTGGCCAGCTGGAAACGCCACGGTCTTCTCCACCCACAAGATCTTCCGAACACAGCAGCTGTTCAGCTGGAAAGGGGCCTGTGGCCACAGGCATCCCCGGGGCCAAGAGGACAGAACCAGCCTTTCTCATGCCCCCCACATCAGGGTCAGGGGCACATGCAGGGGTGGCGGTGGGGATGGGGTACCATAGCCCTCCAAATCAGCAGAGACAGGAATGCACAGGCCCCAGTTGATACCTCCTGTCCTGATGTTTTTATTTGGAGGATGAAGAAACAAATTCTAGCAAACATTTTAAGTTAATTTTCTTTTGTCTGGGAATCGAGTTAGAGACGAGGGCTCGAGCCCAGCAACCTGACACTCAGGGTCACCATTGCCTCACCCCAGGAGAGGCGAGGGGCCCGCAGGAGCCTGAGCTACCTGGAGCTGTACATAGTGGCTGACCACACCCTGGTGAGAGGAGACCCGGCGGGCCCGGGCGCAGGGTGGGACCTGCTCAGCCCTCAAGTTCCCGCCTTTCCAGTTCTTGGCCCAGCACCGCAATCTGAACCGCACCAAACAGCGTCTTCTGGAGGTGGCCAACTACGTGGATCAGGTCGGGGAAAGAGCCCTCGGGGAGAGACAGGGGCTGAGGCTTGCAGCTCCTGTGGGATGTGAAGGATGTGGGGTCCGCGGGGGACCCTGGCCCATGGCTGCCTCGCCGGGCTCTGCTCCTTGGGGAACCTTCTGGTCCCCAGAGGTTCGGGTGCAGTGCACACCTGCGGGGTGGCCAAACCCAGGGTGGCGGTGATGAATGTGGGGAGCGGGTGGGAGGCCAGCAGGGGGTTCCCGCACACTGGGGGGCCGGGTGTTGGGGTGGGTGGGGGTGGTGGGGGTACGTGTGTGAAGAGGAGCACCAGTCCATCCCCTGGGAGGAGCAGTCATGGGAGGGGCCTCTGCCTGGCTTCATCCCAGCCCACCTGCCCTCAGATTCTTAGGACTCTGGACATTCAAGTAGCCCTGGCCGGCCTGGAAGTGTGGACAGAGGAGGACCAGAGCCGAGTCTCACCGGACGCAAACGACACGCTCTGGGCTTTCTTGCAGTGGCGCCAGGAGCTGTGGATACGGAGGCCCCACGACTCCGCACAGCTGCTCACGTGGGTGTCCCCAGCCCTCCCGGGTCTACAGCTGGGTAGCCGCGCCCCTCCTCCCCCGCCACCCCCCCCAGTGATGTTGTGCTTGGTCTTCAGGGGCCAACGCTTCACGGGCGCCACTGTGGGCCTGGCCCCCGTAGAGGGCATGTGCCACCTGCAGAGCTCTGGAGGGGTGAGCATGGTGAGCTCAGTCCCCACTAGAGGATGGGGGAGGGGGAGAGGCGGGAGTGGGGGTGGGGAGAGATGCCGGCTGGGGACCGCGTGGCACGCAGCCCGGTGACCGTCTCCACACCCTCTAGGACCACTCGGAGCTTCCCATGGGTGCTGCTGCCACCATGGCCCACGAGATAGGCCACAGTCTCGGCCTCAGCCACGACCCCGACGGCTGCTGCTCAGAGGTCCGGGCGGAGCAGGGGGGCTGCGTCATGGCAGCAGCCACCGGGTATGGAGCCACGGAGCTGGTGGGGGATGCGGAGAGAGTTCCAGTTGACCCGTGGGCTTTCCTCAGCTGCGTTTTTGGGGCGACCTGGTTACCCCTTCTGTAAAATGAGGGTGGTGATAATTACTCATGGGTCTTAAGTGGAGGTAACACAGGCCAAGTGGATTCTCAAGAGCAGGACGATTATTGTTGGAACAACCTGTGGACGTACTCCAACCCCAGGCGCAGCCGCACCGGGTCGGGATTCGACTTTGGGGCCCCGGGCTGCTCCCAGAGTGGCCGCCTCCAGCCGCGGGCCCGCAGGGAACCCTGGCCGGTGGCTGCCTCGTGGGGCTCTGCCCCTCTGGAACCTTCCGGTCCCCGGAGGCTCAGGGGCGCGCGCGCGGTGGCCAAACCCGGGGTGGCGGTGATGACGGTGGGGGAGGGGGGATGAGAGGCCAGCGGGGGCCGGGGGGGTTCCCCACGTTGGACTCCCTCCCCGCCGCAGGCACCCGTTCCCGCGCGCGTTCAGCGCCTGCAGCCGCCGCCAGCTGCGCGCCTTCTTCCGCAAGGGGGGCGGCGCGTGCCTCGCCAACACGCCCGCGTCGGGGCTGCTCCGGCCGCCCGCGCGCTGCGGCAACGGCTTCGTGGAGGAGGGAGAGCAGTGCGACTGCGGCGCGGGCCAGGTCAGCCGGCCTCGCGGGCGCTGGGCACCAAAGCCGGGCTCTGCGGGTCCTCTGCCCCGAGCGCGGCGCCGCGCCCTCACCCGGCTCTTCCTCGTCTTTCGCGCTCCAGCAGTGCCCGGACCCCTGTTGCTTCGCCCACAACTGCTCGCTGCGTGCGGGGGTTCAGTGCACCCAAGGGGACTGCTGCGCGCGCTGCCTGGTGAGCACAGGGTAGAGCCGGGACGAGGGTTGGGGAGCTCTGGGGGCCTGTGGGTCTAGGTTGACTGGCGCCCTCAGGTACCCCTGCGGGTGCTGGCTCTGCCCGGTCCGCGGCTCCCTGCCTACCTGCCTCTGTACATTCTCTTCCTGTGCCTCTGTCGCCGGCCCTGCACCTGCCAAGCTGAAACCCGCGGGCACACCGTGCCGCGTAGCTGCGGGAGACTGCGACCTCCCGGAGTTCTGCACCGGCACTTCGCCCTATTGTCCCCCGGATATTTATCTACTAGACGGCTCTCCTTGTGCCGACGGCCGAGGCAACTGCTGGGATGGCGCCTGTCCTACCCTCGAGCAGCAGTGCCAGCAGCTCTGGGGGCCCGGTGAGCTCTTGCCTCCAGTTCCCATCCCTGGACCGGGCATTTTCCTATGGGGAGGGGGGGTAGGTAGGAGGGGAGTGCACCTAGTGGGGCAGGTGCCTGCTGAGTGCCCCAGCCCTGCCCATTCTCCTGTAGGCTCGCACCCAGCGCCAGAGGTCTGCTTCCAGGTGGTGAACTCTGCTGGAGATGCCCAGGGGAACTGCGGCCAGGACAGCAAGGGCGGCTTCCTGCCTTGTGCACAGAGGTGGGAGTGGAGTCGGGGGCACCGAGAGTGGGAGAGGGCTGGACCCGGCCCCCCTAAGCTGTTTGACCACTCTCCACTTGGTGCCCAGAGATGCACAGTGTGGGAAGCTGCAGTGCCAGGGTGGGGAGCAGAGCCCACTTTGGCCATACGCAGTGGCGCAGGATTCCACCGTCAGCCTAGGCAGCCTGGAGGTGACCTGCAGGAGCGCCAGGAGCGCCCAGCTGGACCTGCCTGACCTGGGTGCGGTACAGCCGGGCACCCAATGTGGACCTAGAATGGTGAGCCCTGCCCACTTGCCCCTCAGTCCCACTTGAGTCCCGGAGGCCCGAGCCTCGCTGCCCCTCACTGCCCAGGGCACATCCTGCCCACAGGTGTGTCAGGAGAGGCGCTGTCGGAACAGCACCTTCCCGGAGCTGAAGCGCTGCCTGCATGCCTGTCACGGCCACGGGGTGAGTGAGCTGCACGGTGTGGGGGCAGGGCGACCTGGGCATGCCGCCGGGATGGACTGTCCTCTCCTCTCTGCAGGTCTGCAATAGTAACCTGAACTGCCACTGCGCTCCCGGCTGGGCTCCACCCTCCTGTGACAAGCCAGGGTTCGGAGGCAGTGTGGACAGCGGCCCCATGCAGCCTGAGCGTACGGAAAGAGGGGAGCGGAAAGCACCAGGGGGCGAGGCAGGGTGGAGCACCCGCCCGGGACTCAGCCCCATCCTGCCCTCCACAGACGGCGACACCTTCCTGCTGGTGGCTGTGACCCTCAGTTTCCTGCTGCCTCTGCTCCCCGGGTTTGGCCTTGCCTGGTGCTGCTGCCGGCAACTGGGGTCCCAGCCCCAGCAATGCCTCTGGGGCTCAAGGAGGGCCCCTGCATGCGGCGGGTAGGTTGTGAGGACCCAGGGTCCTGCTCCTCCGTGCTCTGTCGGGTCTGGGCAGCTGGGCAGGGTTTCTGGCCCTACTCCCAAGTGCAGAAGCAGCGGATAGAGCCTTGCAGGAGCCCCAGGGCTTCCTAGTGAAGCCAGGTGTGGGGCCTTGAGGGCCTGCTCCCTCTCCCCTCTCTGCCTCGGCCCTGCTGTCCTTGTCTCGCACCTGGAGGCTGCCTCACCCTTGCCTTGCCTGTTTCTCTACCCGCTCACTGGACAGTCCCTGCTCTGCTGTGGCTCCAGACGAGGCATAAGCCATACCCCACATCCCCACATCTTAGCTCTGGTCAGGCTAAGAGAGGGGGCGTTGAGGCTGGAGATGAGGACAAAGGGCAGCCAGACAGCCAGGTCCCAGGTGACAGTTTGGGCCCTGACACATCAAGTGATGTCGCAGCATTGGGTAGAGCTGGGAGTGGCAGCGTGGAGTGGCAGCAGGTCACCGCCAGGGGCGTCCCGGGCAGTGAAGACTTTAGAAGAGATTAAAGGAAGTGGCAAGACTCTGGGAGATGGGGCGCAAGAGGCCAGACATGGCTTTGAGTTTTGGGGGCAGCGGGGTCACCCAGTGGCCGGCGAGCAGGCACAGCGGCCACAGGAGGGGGTTTGGGAGCTGAGTGGTGCCAACATCTGGAAGGTGCCATGCTGAGGTGGGGTCGGAGTCTGAGGGAAATGGAGGACATCTAGTGGGGAGAGAGCGGAGAGGAGCGGGAGAGCCTGACTTGCAGAAGGAACTGGTGCCCTGCTCAGGGTCACCGCCCCAGTTGCCTCCATTTTGTCCACTTCGCAGCCCCAAAGATGACCCACGCAGAGAGCACGCCCCAGGCAGCATTCACCCCATGGAGCTGAACCCCATAGCTGCTGGACAGCCGTGGCTGCTGTGAGTGGGCCACCGGGGCTGAGGGGCTCTGTCCTTCTGCCTCCTTCCAGGTGGGCTCACTCAGCTATAGCCCCTGTGCATGATGGCCCCCCCAGACTCCCTACCCGCTGTGTTCACGCATCTGTCCTCTACCATTGTCCCCCAGAACCCCAGAACCATGAGATGCCCATGTCCTGTAGCCCTGCCTGTACACCCAAGGTAGGTGGGGACCCAGATGGGGGGCTTCTCTCTGCTATCACTCACTTCTCAGCTCACTGTCCCCATTATGGAAATTAGATAACTCCTCAGAGAGGCTGCTGTCACCTCCAGCAGAGGTTGGGGCAGGGGAGGGGAAATCGTGGCTCTCCCATCACCGGCCCTCACTGCAGGGGGATCAGTCTCTCCCACATGGCTTGCAATCTAGTCCCAGTCCTCAGGGGTGACCCCTCTTCTTCTTCATTCTCAGCAGGTCAAGAAGCCCAAGATCCTGTTTCTGGAGAGAGGTGGCTTCTCAGACAAGGGGACTTAAAGATAGGTGGCTACTGACAGTCTTTCCCAGAACTTGAATCTCCAGTCTTTCCCAGAACTTGAGGCTAAACCAGCTGGTCTCCTGAGCAAGTTCTTCTGGGAACTGAGCTTTGTGGGGCCCCTCCAGGACAACAGAGCCACATCAGCACTGGCACCGTGCAGTCCTGTCCTCTCCGGCTGGGTGATCCTGCTGGGACGCCCTCCAGCCCCAAGTCTGTCAGTAAGGAGCAGAGGTCCTGCAGTCATGAGGGCCAGGGGAGGCTGTTCGCGTTGGGGTGCCCCTACCTGGGGAGACTGGGCTTCGCTGCCACTGCTCTGAGTCTCCAGACTCAGCTCTGCCGAGGGCAGTGAGGCTGAGCCAGCACTTGGACTCTGGGGACCTTCCTTTCTATCTCCTGCCCTGGCCTACTTCCTCAGCTCCAACCCCACTCCTTGACCTCCACCTAAGGTTTGTGGAGAGGTGTGGGATCTGCTGCAACCCCCTTGCTCTGGACTCAACCTCCCTCCATACAGTGGGAGGGGAAGAGGGAGCCATTGTAGAAAGGACACTAAAGTGCAAGTCAGAAGACAGACATGTTGGCCTTGAGTTTCTGAGTTTTTCTGCCTGTAGATTCAGCCCCATAGGGATCCCTGAGGGTCACAGTGGGGGTTGGCGGGTGGAGCCCCGGAACCAGCTAGGGTCCCCAGGACACAGTGCTCTGGTGCCATTGTGTTATCTGTCCTGTGTCCCGTGGACCTTCTCAGGAGCCTCTCCTTCCCTTGCCCTGCTCCATGCAAGGTCGCTGAGGGGCCTTTAGCGTCAGCCCTCTGTAACTTCATAAAAAAACCAACCTTGGATTTAGTAGCTTTAAACCACTACTTGTGTGAACTGGCACATTAGGCTGAATTCAGCTGATGGTTCGTTTGGTCCCAGCTCAGGTCACCTGTGTGTTTGCCGCCAGCTAGTGGTCAGCTGGGCAGTTCTGCTCCTGGGCTTGGCTGGTTATTTTTGGGGTGATGGGGACAGAGGGGGCTCGTGTCTCTTTCCATCAGGGCAGCCCAGACTGCTTCGCTTGGCAGCTGGGGAGGGCTCTGAGAGAGCAAGGTAGGGTGAGGGAGGCATTCACCTAGGGCCCAATGTCATCGAGAGAAGTAATACTCTAATGGAATATTTAAAAAGATTAAAATTGGGCCCTCCCTGGTGGCGCAGAGGGTTAAAGCACAGCACTAAGAAGCAAAAGCCACTTGCACATGAGTTCAATCCCCGCCTGCCCCGGAGGTGACCACATGGCGCGGCAGACCTCTCCTGACCCGCCCACTGCTCCCCTCAGCAGTGTACTTCGATCTGCCTGTTCTGCTCCCCACTCTGTCTCTGGTGAAGCCTCTCACCGCCACTGAGCCTCTGACTTGTACCCCACTTCTGTATGTGCAAATAAATAAATCTTTAAAAAAAAAAATTTAGAAAAAAGCAGCCCCTCCTTCTTAAATTCTTCCAAGCAATTGAAGAGGAAGGAACACTTGAATTTCACAGCATTCCCTGATAACAAAGTCAGATAAGGATTATAACAATAAAGCTTCAGGTCAATGTCCCTGGTCAATACAGATGTAAAAATTCTTGGGGTCTCCTTGATAATGAAAGAGGTTAAGATGCAGCACTATGAAGCTATCTGCAGCCACTGCAGCAGGAGTTGTATCCCCAGCCGGCCAGGGAGCTGAACCACTTGGCACAACAGACCTCCTGACCTGCCCGCTGCTCCCCTCAGCAGTGTGTTTCAGTCAATCTGCCTGTTCTGTTTCCCACTCTGTTGCCTCTCATTCCCCCGACCTCTGGCCTGCACCCCAGTTCTCATGTGCATAAATAAATAAATCTTAAAAAAAATAAAATGCTTAGCAATAAATTTAAGGAGGAGAAAGATTTGTACTGAAAAAAGACAAGACTGAAGAAGTGGAAAAGACAAATGGAAAGATACACATATTAATGGATTGGAAGAATTAATATTAAGATGGCCACAGTGCCCAAAGCTACCTTGGATTGGATGACTCCCTATCAAGATTCCAGTGGCATCTTTCACAGAAAGAGAAAAAAACAATTTAAAAATTTGTACAGAACCCCCAAAACCTAGAGTAGCTGAAGCAACCCCAAAGCAGAGTATAAGGGGAATACTAATGTTTTTGATGTCTTAGGAATTTTCCTTCAATTCTTAAAATTAGGGACCAGAAACTTTAAGACAATTATAAGAAGGAAAAAAAAAGAACAGTGTTCCATACAATGTTACGCTCAGCATGGGAGAGACAGGTCTTGGCTTGCTTGTGGGTGGTGGGGAGCAGGGGGTGCATTCAGGACCTGGGACCAGCGGCTCTGGACTCTACCTTAGAGCGGTGGAGGCTGGGGGTCAGTGTGGGGGGAGCCACACCCACCGGGAAGGCTCCTCCCCCGGGAGTGCTCTAGCTGCACAGCTGGAGGCGGGGGCTGGCTGGGACCGGTCTCCAGGCCTTTGCTGCCAGTATGGCCGGATGCCTGGGGGCTGTGCTACTGCTGCTGCTTCTGGGTGAGTGACGCGGCCCCTGATCTTGGGAACAGGGTAGGAGGGCAAGAGGTGATTCCAGGGAAAGCGGCACTCAGGCAGGTCAGGCAGGGACCCTGGTGAGACGCAGCGGTCAGGGTTTGGAGGATACCTGGGAGCGCACCAGGCTTCTGCCTCCTTCCCCAGCCCCTCCCAAGTCCTGACCTCGATATCACTGTTCCAGGAAACTTCTTTTTCCTTTACTTCCCCCTCTCCCACCTTTCTTATTCTTTCCCCTCCCTGTTAAGTGTGGGGGCTGTACACCGGCACCTTCAGAGCCTCCAAGCCACTCACCTGCTTGGACTGCCCCTTCCCACCTGGGGCATCTAGGAGGGCAGGGCCACTTCACGGAGTAGGGTGGGATGGGGGATGGGGGATGGAATCTGGCCAAGGTTCAAGGCAGAGGAAATCTTGGAACTGAGGAGAACTGTTTTGAGGGTGGAGAGGAGGTAGGGGCACTCCTGGTGGAGGGACAGGTGAGCAGAGGGGCAGAGGTGGGGACGGAGACCTTGGGTGTCACTAGGTGCTGTTAGCTTGGCTTGGGGCCTGGGGAGGTGCCAGGCTTTGTCTGGAGGGAAAGGAAGTGGGGCTGCTTCCCTGCCTTCCTCCTGGGGAGGAAAATGGAAGGGACAGAGGGAGAGGGAAGCTGAGCTCAACCTCCATGTACACAGCCATGCCAACGCCCGTGCGGTGCCGGAGGCTCCCGGAGTCCCTGCATGGACCCACGGGATTCTGTGGCCCCCCGCCATTCAGCACGTGTCTCTGAAAGAGGTGACCAGCCCCGGAGACACCCCGGTCTTGTGGCAGGAGACACCCTGACACACACACACACACACACACACACACAAGGGTGGGGAGGCCAGGCGTGGCTCAGGCCAGCGCTGTGGCCAGCCATCAAGCACTTCTCTCCAGTCTGCTGCAGGAGGGGGCTAGGCCTGAAGGGGCCCTTGAAGGCCCAGAGCTCTCTGGGGAGTTTCCTCTTTCCCCTGGATGGTGGAGGGTGGAGAGGCCAGGGGGAAAGTCCAGATGGGCAGCAATGGTTAAGCCGACAAAGGAGCATTAGAAAGAAGGGGAGTGTGCAGGCCTGCAGGGGGCAGGTGGAAGGCCAAGGAGACAAGGGAGGGGGAGCCAGAGACCTAGAGTCACTCAAAGGGTGCGCAGGAGGGAGCGAGGTGGGAAAGGGAAAATGGTCAGGTCCTCCTAGCATGCCAAAGAGGCAATGGAGGGGCTGCTGTCCCCAACCCCATGTCTCCAAGTCTCCTCGAGCCAGGTTCCCAGAAGCCTGTTCAGTTTCCCATCAGCTTCGGCCTGTGGGGGTGGGGGTGGGG